AGGCGCGCGAGGACGGAAAGAGTTGGCACCCGCGCGCCCGCGAGCGCGTACGTGCGGCGCGGCCGGGCGAGAGCGAGCGAGCCGCCGCTGCGCAGCCATTAGCCGCGGCTCGCCGTGAATGGGGGCCACGTGCCGCGGCCTTTTTCGCCGCCGCGCGTCACGTGCGCCGCGCTCGGGCTGCCGGCCGATCGCCGGCGCGAGGCGAGCGCCGCCGGAAAAAAGGGAGAAAAAGCGCGTCGCGCTCGCGGGAGCGCGTCAATGGGCTCGGGCGCGCGGCCCGCAGTGAGTCAGTGGGTCTCCGCGGCTCGCTAATCGTCGCGTGCAGTCGCGCTGCCAGGCAGTCAGGCAGGCGGCGTGGCGTGCGCGACCTTGACCGAGAGAGTGCCCGAGCGGGGCTCTCTTTCCCGCTCGGAGCGCGCCTGAGAGCGCCGAGGCGCGCCTGGCCTTTTACTGGCGCCTCGAGTGCCGCGGGCCGATGCGTTCGCCGTCGCCGCCGCGTCTGCCGACGCCGGCCCAGAGGTCGTTCCCCTCGCGCGCTCCCGGCTCGCCTCCTTTCTACGCCACTGCCCATTGTCGCGAGCTCTCGCCTCCGCCGCCGTCCGTCGCTTCCGACGGATCGCACTGCGCGCGATGATCCGTCTCGCGCCTCTGACGCCCCCCCCCCCCCGCGCGAAATCCGATACGGCACTTGGCGGACGGAGACGGCTCGCCGAATCACTGACATAATTCCGCCTTTGCGCGGCGGCCGCGTGCCGCGACCCGGAAGCCCGCTTTCGTCCCTCGCTGCGCTTTTTTCGCAAGCACGCGCGCCTTCCAGTTCGGAAATGGACGGCTGAGCAAACTTGCGCTTCTCGTCCGCGTTGATGTTGGCCGGACTCGATAGGCCGGCTGTTCTCCTCTTTTACAAGTTCCGTGTAAAACGAACGCTGTAAAGTTTCGCCGAGCAGAGAGAAGAATGTAAGCGCTCGCTTCTCTCCGCGGTGTATTGCTATTACCACTTATCTCGCTCGGCCGGCCATAACTCATGTACTGTTATTTCAAAAGTTGCAATCGTAATGGAGCGCGAAAACTTCTCGCCGCGCGTTCCTCGCCGAACTGTCGGTGTTGATTTAGGTCCGGCGCGGGCGCGCGGCGTAAACAGCGAGTTCCACCGGACCCTCCTCCGACGACGATGTCGTTTCTCGCGACGTCGGCTCCGATGCTAGCGAAATCGCGATATCCGTCGAGGAGCCAGTTCGCACCAGTATCGCAGAAAAGCCGAGCGAGAGAGCAAAAATCATGGCGCGCGAAAAGCGGCAATAATAACATGCAGCAGTCCGGAGTAGAGAGACATTGGCAAAACACACGCTCTCGATGTATAGAGAGCGAGAGAGAGAGAGAGAGAGAGAGAGAGAGAGAGCGAGAGCGCGCGCTTCCGCCTAGGAGGTGGCGGTGTTGGCGGGCAGGAGGAGGAAAGAGGAGGAGGGAGGCCTGGGCTGGCAGCAAACGAGAGAAAAGTGGGGGAAGCCGCGGCACCGAGAGAAGCCTCTCCACCGGCACTGCACCTACGGCTACTAACGCGGCAACACGTCCAAAACGCGCCGCCGCAGCGCAGCTCCAAACCACACGCAAACACGCACGACTCGCCGGCTTGCCCTCCAGTTTTTCTGCTTCCGTACCGTTCCGCGCGTTCGTTCGTCCCAGTGCGCGTCGCAAGAGTCTTCGCGGGCATACAGTGCTGGCTGTGCTGCTTCGCATTGGTGGGTGCGTTCTGTGACATGAGTTCCTCGGTTGTTGTTGTGTTGTTGTTGTGAAGTGACACTGCGCCAAAGTCAAAGAAGACTAGTGTTGGCCGGCAGATTCCCTCTGGTGCGAGCATGAGTGCCGACACTGGCATCGTTGGCGCTATCGCCATCAGCCTTTTTGGTAGGTCTGGGAAGCGGCGTCGCGCCGACAATTCCAAATCGCTTTTCCGACTCTTTTGCACGATCGCGAATCGCGAGCGGGACGGCGTTGTTTTGACATCGCGCGCGCGTGAGAGAGGCGCAGTAACGAGAAAAAGGGGAGGGGGGAAGAGAGCACATCCACGTGAATGACCGCATGTTTCTCTCTCGCTCTCTCTCTCTCTCTCTTTCTCTCTCTCCTTTCGCACCGCGCGCGCGACGTGTACTTTTCATTCCGCAGCGCGAATCGCTATTATTTTTTGACGCGCAGCGACCGCGTTTTCCTTTTCTCCCACTCGCTACCATAGCGATGCCGTTGTCGAGTTACTTTCGCGCGCGAGTAACTTCTGCCTAGCGCAGATTCGTTGTGCGAATCGCGCGTAATGACGCCGAGCTCGGATGAAGGGACAGCAAGACGGCACTCGGACGGAGGAAAATAAAGGACGGATGAGCTTTGACGGGCGACATCGAGAGCTTAGTCACGAGCGATTCGCGAGTTTCAAAAATTAAAAGCAACGCAAAACGAAAAAAAAAAGGTCGACCGTGTCTTAAACGGCAAGAAGTGAGGTATTTCAAAGCGCATTGATTTTCCGTTCAATTGACAAGTGAATGTCTTGAAAGGTATATAGAGAGGCACACACGCAGCGCGTCAGTGGTGCTCAACTTGCGCTCGCTCTCAATTCTTCGCGGCCTTTTCAACACACAATGACAACTGTACTTTATCTATAATTGGATTAGAAGCTCGCAGGCAGTTTTAAATTGGACTTCACAAAGGATGTAATTTATTGATCATTGCAAAAATTGACGCACGTATTGCCGGAGCAAAGATACATGCATACACGTACGACGCGATCAATATGAAATATATGTTTGCGTGCGCGCGCGCGCGCGCGTGTGTGTGCAACGCGGCTGCGTCGTTGATGAAAATCCAAGCGCGCGGTTGAATTATGAATTCCTAAATTGAAATGCCATTTCTTTTCTGCTCTTTTTTAAATCGCGGCGGCGTGGCGGGGCGGGGGGGGGGGGGAGATGAGGCAGAGAACGGCGAAAGAATACGAAATCAATAATTCAAATGGGCTTCTCGCGCATTCCACATTTCTGATTACGAAAATGTGGGTTATGCATTGCGAGTTGCGTGTCGCAAGCGAACCCACACTTAATTACAATCCGTGGGCGCCTTTTAATTTCGCACACATCGCCGATCCAAGTATTGGCGCGAGCCGCGGAATCGCTTCATTTGCGATTCCTAGTAGAAAGCCGTTTGACCAGGAGCAAACTTTGTATTGTCCGCTAGCGAGCGATTTCACCTATGTATATGCTCGTTAAACATTTACACGCTCCCTCGTGTGGCGTTTTCACTTTGCGTCGGTAATTTACTTCGATCCGCCGGGCAAATAGTCTAATTCACATAACGCCGTTTCGAAAAAAGAATAATTACCGCGCTCCTCTTTTCGTTTGTTCTTTCTTTTATTTTCTTTTTTTTTTATCCGAGCGAAGAAAATTGCGTTTCGCGGAGGAGAGGAAGTATAAGCAACTTCTCGCATAAAAATTTAATAGCTACAGATCACGAATGAGACTCTCTGGCAGGCAGCGCTCGTTCTACATCAAAAACTTTATGTTTTTCGACATTAAATTGGTTATGTATTATAAAAGTTTTCTCTCTCTCTCTTTCTCTCTTTCTCTCTTTCTCTCTCTTTCTCTCTTTCTCTCTCTTTCTCTCTTTCTCTCTCTTTCTCTCTTTCTCTCGCTTGCTCGGCAATCAAAACTTGCACACATTTTCAAACTCATGCGCAACTGCGAAATGTCAAAAGTTGTTTTCGAAAAATTAAAAACTTGGATTTTTTTTCTGTTTTATGGCCGCGTTTCCATTTCCGCGTCTATAAAAAAAGAATAGCGGTTTAATCAATGCGACAAAGTACAGTGCGATTCGCTTGTCATTCGAGAGGAGCGCGATAACAAAGCAGTCACAGAGCTGCAGCGAATTTGCCGAGAGCCCGCTCAAATATTAACTTACAGAAATCATACAGGTCATAGGCTTAAAATATGTATAATCGCGCCAATGAAGCTGGAAACTTGATTATCTGCATGTATCTATTTCAAATGCTCCCGAATTATTTAGACGGACCGCCGGCGAACGGAGCTCTGAATTAATATGCGCGGAAAACATGCCAAATTGGCCTTTCGCGCACGAACAATACGAAAAGCAATTGATCGCGCGCGGTAAAAGTCGAAAATAAAAAAAACAACAGAAATTACGAAAGCAGGGTTCACGCTTGCAGTGCATTATTTTCACGTTGAAAATAAAAAGCGATTTCGAAATTCTCCTGCTTTTCCTTTACTAAGGATGCGTTCTGCGCACTTGATGTCTGTACTGCAGTGGCGAAACGAATTTGAAATCGCGAAGTAATGATGATTTATTACGCTGAAATAAGGATGACGTATCGCGGAAAATGTGCATTATTATATTGGGAACGGTTTTGTTAAAAGTGCAATTATTTGATAATCATACACACAAACGCGATTGGTATATTAAACGATCGCGCAAATTATTGTCGTGGTCGTCGTCGTCGTCGTTGTTGCGTCACGTTAACGTTGTACCCGATGATTTGTTTCTTTTTGTTTTCAACGTTCGAAACGTAAACGGATGATGATATGGCATTGTAGATGAGTATCATTAGATGATTGTGTGGCTAATGGCCTCTTTTTACGTTTACAATTGGCTTGCCCCTCGCGATTAATTGATAGCATCGTCATTTTTGCTCTGATAATGACAATAAAGAGAGGTGTGCGTGTGCGCGCGCGCGCGTGTGTGTGTGTGTCTCGGCGTAGCCACGATGACAAGTACGCGCTGCGTTGCAAAAACAAAATGACCAGCGATCTCGATAATCGTTATGTCATCGTTCGGCCGACAAATGTCGTATAAAATAAAATGATTCCGAGAGCTGGAACAACAGCAAACTGAAAGAAAACGAAAGAAAAGAAAAAGGGGGCAGAGGCGATAGTCTAATCGACTTGTCGCTATTCGAGCGAGGTGGAGGTGCGTGCGCGTATGTGTGATCAGAATGTTTTGTATTGCAGGTGACGAGAAGAAGCGGCGAGACAGCGTGGACTCGAGCTATTCGCTGAACGGTGAGCTCGACGCGGCCCGAATGTACGATCAGTATTCCTACAAATCAACGGTAGGTTGCTATCTCTCACTCTTGTACTTTTTATTTCGTCGTCGCGTGGATCTTTTACGCAACATGCTAAACAACAGAGGAAAACTTGCTCTCAATTTATTATTTTTTTCCTCCTTTTTTTCGTTTCTATTTTTGCGAACATTATTTTCTATATGCGACTTATCGATTTATCGATGGCCTCATTGCTAGAGAAATAAGGTCAATTCGATTCGATTCACGTGGCATTTTTCGCGAAACCAAAGAAAAACAAGCGGTGACTCGTCGATGACGAGTTAAAAAAAAAAAAAACGAACATATAAGAAAAAGGCAAAAGAAAACTACGCGTTTTGAAATTTCCTCGCGCGCCAATGCGCACAGCGCTGCAATGTAGTACTCTGTTGACGGGTGGGGAAGAGGTACAAAAGATAATCAGAACTGGAATCGATACGCGTTTTGTTATTCTTTTTTTCCCCACTACTCGACTATAATCAAGCGGAGAAGTGATGATTTTTTCAAAGCAAAGTAAACATACGCTCAAGAAGTAGGGGAAGGGTAGGGTCGTTAAAAGCGCTGCTCCCCCTTTCATGTGCAAAAATTGTGCATAAAACGGAACTTCTAATGGTATTGGATCTGTATTTACACAAGGAGAGAGAAAGAGAAATAAAGCTTTTTGCGAACGTTCGAGAAAGAGAAGAGGGAGGAACAGCGTTTCTCTCTCTCAAGCTCTCTTTCCTAGGAACGTTTGGAAAGGGGGGATATATATGCATGTACATATGTGCGTGTCTGTGTATATACATATATAAAGGAGGAGTGTTAAACAAACCATCAAAGAGAATAGAAAAGTATACAAACCGAGTGACGTAAGCGAGTGTATACACAAACCACACTCGCGTGCACGCGCGCGGAGCGTCGATCGGTTTTAGAACACGACGAGCGAAAGGAGAGCGAAATATTGCAGTTTTCAGCCGGTCGTTAGTTAACGCGCCAGCCAGCCAGCGCCAAACCGAGCGCACTTGTGCGCGCGGCGAGGCAATTATTACTGCCGCGCATGGCCGTTGGCCCAAGGTCGTGGCATTTTCGCGCCTTGATTTTCTCGCGTAGAGGAAAAAACGGGAGAAAGAGAATCTCTTCCCCCCCCCCGCAAGCCTAATATCGTTTGTGATCTACAAATCATCGTCGTCGGAAGCCGCGACGGAAAAGAAGGCGTTACCGCGTGTTTACGAAAAGTCGTTCGGAAAACACACGAGTACAGCGAAGAATAACATACGCAGTCTCGGCCATGCTGACGAAACGGCGAAAAACCGGGTTACACCGATCGTTTCGGAAATGAATCAATTCCGGCTTATTACAACTCTGATCGCGCGCCGTAGGGATGCAAAAAAAACACGCGCGTGCAGTCGTAGTTAATAAGAAGGAGTGGGAAGCAGCGCCAACGAGGAATTGAAGCGCTCATTTCCTGAATCATCGCGGAAGGCGTTGCGCGAATCTTTTCTCCCCCCCCCCCCCCCCCCGCCGTTGGTCAAAAGTTTTATGACGTCGAACGCCGCCGCCATTGCGATTCGCACTAGGTTGCATTCTAAAGCCGCTTATCGTTTTACCACCTCCGCCGACGACGACGACAACTTGCTCTTCGCTGCAGATTAGGCTCGAAGCCGCGCGCTCGCGGCAGTCATTATTTACGCACTCGTTTTTCGCGTAACGCGCGCAGATAAATTTGAGCTCGCTCGCGAGGCGACAAACTCGTCGGGCGAGACGATCAAAGCGTCATTAAGCGCTGTCATCGCTCGCGTTTATTGTCGGAGTGCGGCATCGAGAGACTCTCATCGCCCGAGCTGCGCGCGCGCACAGTCGGCAACGAAAGTGCACGGATTAGAAAGCGATCGCTCGCTCGTTCAGACATTGACGAAATCTCTCTTTCGAAATTCGTTCGTCTTCCCGTCGCCACCCCGCTCGTTAATTAATTGCCCAAACATGATTAATTCAATTTTTTTTAACACCCGCAATAGAGGCAACAGTTCGGTCACGAGCTCTCGAGTCGTTGCTATACCTTAGCGAATCATTTCTCGAAGATAGTGAAAGTCGTGACGAGCAAACCATCGCCCCCACCTCCCCGCCGCTTCCCTTTTCTGCCTTGATTTATTACTTTTTCATGTCGAGGCAAAATATTCATCCACCGTGTGCGCTCTCGTCGAAGGATTTTTTTCGGAGGGAGGAAACCAATCCGACCTCGTGTATTTTTCGTCCTCGTCGAGAGTGGCCCCGTCTTTTTCGAAATACGCACTCGAAAACTGCCGGCCGCTTCGACGCGCACGACCTTGGCGGTTCGAGTGCTCGTGCAGTTTCCAGAGGCTCGTCGTCGATCGCCACGGCGAAGGACAACAACTGGCCCTCGCGATAACGGCGAATTCAAGAGGGATTGGGGTGATCGAAGGCGTCGTTCGGTCGGAGCTCGATGTCCCATAAACGTGGCGTCCCGTTTACTCTCGCGACTGCTCCGCGAGATCGCGACTCCGCGCCCCTCCTTATCCACACATGGCAACAGCACTCATGGCAGCAGCCTTCGGGAAAACAGAGCTTGCGGAACGCTAACACCGCGGCCCCTATTTCTGTTTTTTTCTTTTCGCATTACGAATTCACGCGCGCGCGCGCGCGTTGCGTCTTCCGGACGCGTGAGCACGACAACTTACGTATTCGGATCACGGAGCGCAATAATTGCTCGCGTGATCAAAGAGACGCGCGTTTCGTACGTTGTTCTCCGGAAAATTAATAAACAAAAATTTCTACGCTCGCCGGTTGGATATGCGAATATGAATTTACATTCGCGCTTAAACGGATTGTATTGATTGCTTCGCTTGCTAAGCAAAGAGAGAGAGAGAGAGAGAAAGAGCGATTGGGTGGGGGGGGGGGGGGGATTCACGTTTGCTTGTTAATAACGCATTTGTCCTTCTAAATAGTTAACTTTCGAGTTCCGTCAGGGATTTCTATAGATGACGCAGCACTCGCTTATATTTTACTGTTATTGCAATTCCGTGGAAGTAAGAAAGCAGAATAACCATGCGAACGAGAGATTATATTTGGAATTTGTATGGAAGAGTCGGTGGGGTGCGCCTCCTATCTATCCCAGTTCGAAAGTGGGAAGGCAGATCAAAGTAAAATATAGTTTCGCATCGCCGAGAGAAGTATGGATTTTTAAAGCCTATATCTTAGCCAGCCGGGGAAAGAGGCAAGAGAGTCTTGCAGACAAATCCATCCAAGTAATGGCTTTGTAATCTTGTTTCAAAAGCTTCGCTCTCCTCTCTTTTCGCGATTGCTCGCGCGCATATCCATATAAAAGGACGTGAAAGTCGCAGTTGGGAATTCAAGCTGCAAGTATCGATAGCCACAACTATTGAGAAACCTTTAGATGCTTTCAGCGATGCGCCGTTGCACAAGTACATATGGTTCGCAGAGATGAAGGGAAAAAAGCAAACAACAATGGGATGCGACGCGTGCAGCACTGTTTTAATTGGGTTGTGCGTGTGTGCCTGTGTTTTCGATCTTGATAAAGCGGAAACTTTCGCACTTCCTATACAGTCGATGCTGCAAGCCAGCGTGTAATACCCTCTTCTTTTCTTCTTCTTCTTCTTCTTCTTCTTTTTCTTCGTCCGCTCGCTGACTTTCGCGCCGCTCGACCTACCGACGACTACACTGCGGCTTTATTTCCCCCCACTCTCTTCGCGTTTATAAACCTCGCGATCTTTTTTCTCTCTCTCATTTGTTTCGCATAAGTACATCGGGGCTTTTCTTTTGTCACCGAAATTCTCGCGTATTCTTTGTCGATTATTGCATTTTTCCAGATTGCAATACGCGCGAGCATCGTATTTTTATCCGTTACGAATAACCGGTTGTTAACATTAACTAACCGTCAGCTTTCATTTTGCAATTCATTTATCGCAAACTATATGCTTATTTTTTTTTCAATCTCAAGACTCGTTTCGCCAGCTCGAATAATTCTCAGCGCATTTCTCACAAGCGTAAATGTGAATTGCGCGAATAATTTTTAATTTACCTAAAAGAAAACACATATCGCTGTCATAAATATACATAACACGCGTGTAATTCCGTTCCCACCTTTTCGTATTCTCATTTGGTCGCACAGGTATGATGCAGATGTGTTTTTTTTTCTTCTGCGTGTGCGTGTGCCTCGAAACAAAATGAAAGGCGAGCAAGAGAGAGAGAGAGAGAGAGAGAGAGAGAGAGAGAGAGAGAGAGGAGAGAGAGAGAGAGAGAGAGAGAGAGAGAGAGAGAGAGAGAGAGAGAGAGAGAGAGAGAAGGCAGGCAGACTTGTATAGTCGCCATAAAGGGGGATGAATAAACGTAGATTGAAAGGACATAAAAAGTATATTGAAGCGAAGGAGACAGAGAGGGGAAAAGAAATTAAAAGCTGGTTACGGGGCAAATGGAAATAAATTTGCTCTCTCTCTTTCTATGTGTGCGTCTGTCTCTTTATTCTGCTTGCACGAGCTTCCCGATTCCGCGCTTTTTTTCATTTTTTCTTTTGCGAGCACATTATCGGTCTGAAGAGAGAGAGAGAGAGTTGCGGATATCGCCCACATGCCAAATGTCCTCTTGTATTTTTATTGATTCGTTATTTTATCTGCCTGTCTCTCTTTCGCTCGTTCTTGAAAGCTATACGAGCAAATTCACGAGCACGCTTTTGTACCACCGAAAGACCACCTCTGAGATGACTTTTCTTTCTAATTCAAAGCAAGGGAATGCAAAAGTAATTATATTCGAGGCTAATACGCACGTCTCTCACGTATATACGCATCGATTGCCGGACGTGCGCTGTATTCAAATTTGGTCGTAGCGAGAGAGAGAAAGAGAAACGCATGCAAATTGTATAGCTCCGACGAAGAAGGATAGATGGAGCTCAAGTTGACGGGCATAGGTAAAATGGAAAGAGAGAGGGAGAAAAGCGGGGATGAAGAGTGAAGCTTGCCGCCGCCGCCGCCGCCGCCGCCGCTGCTGCTGCTGCTGCT